TAAAAAATCTTCGTATTAGCAAGGTTGGGAAGATTTTCCTAGAGTTCGAACAGGACAAGTTTTGTGGGGAGGAAGAATGCTAGTTCCAGGCACAGTTTAATTCTGCCCATTTGGAGGGACACTGTCCACTCGATGTTGAGACATGGTGGTTTTGTCAGTTTTGTCTGATTCTACCAGATGCTTTGAAGGTTTTTCTGTTGAAAGTCAACATTTTTGAAATATTAGAAATTTCTTTTTAAGTCAATAGAAAAGGAAGCTTGAGATGAGATAAACATTTCAAAAGTTTGACTTTCAACAGAAAAACTTAATATTTTTTTTTGGTGTATGTTTTTTGGAGTGTGTTTGAGTGCTTTTGTTTTTTTTGGAAGGGCGTCCCTGGGAACTTGGAGAAGAATCAGCGGTAGCTTCTCTCTCTGGTGAATTCACCTTGACGTTCTCTTTGGAGACAAATATAAATTGAGATTTATTACCTGTTTAGTTTTTGCAAATGTACTAGATTCTCTCTTGTTGTTTCCCAGCAGGAGGTTGCTTATATTGATAAACATGCTTAATTTAAATAATAGGACTAGGATTTATGCTAACCTTTTACATTTTATTTTTATGGTTCTGAGGATGTACACGAATTGTTTTTAAACAGAGAGGAAAATGCTTTACAGGGGGCTTAGTGACATGTTTGGAGGGATTTGTCCTTTCTCTGTGTCTGTCTGTTTTGTCAACCCATTGGCTGTATTGGTATCTGTGCTGTGTTTCATTGATGTCACCCTGTCTTATGGTGGAAAGTGCTCGGTAAACACTGTTCTTCTGCAAGACATCCTCGTGGGGGGCAAAAGGCCTTGATTGGGGTATTGTCTTCTCTCTCTCTCTCTCTCTCTCTCTTTCTTGAGACAGGGTCTCACTCTGTCACCCAGGCTGGAGTACAGTGGTGCGATCTGGCCTCATTGCAGCCTTGGCGCCCTGGTCTTAAGCAGTTCTCCCACCTCTGTCTCCTGTGTAGATGGGACTACAGGCACACGCCACCATGGCTGGCTTTTTTTGTATTTGTAGACACAGGGTTTGGCATGTTGCCTAGGCTGGTCTCAAACTCTTGAGCACAATCAATCCACCCAAAGTGCTGAAATGGCAGGTGTTTGCCATCATGCCTGGCATGTATTCTCTCTTTATTTCATGAAAATTCTTAAAGAATTTTTACTCAGGCTTGTTCAACTTACTCAGCTGCATTTTTGGGAGAGCAGCACTCTGTGTCTGAAATTGAAGATTAGGAATTTGATATAGAATTATACCAAAAGGGCTTAAAAAATCCAACAGGGGTGAAGAAACACAAGGATCTCAGCTCACTCCCTTTCTTGCTTATAGGGAGGTCAGGGTGGGTTCTTAGCGTGAGAGGGCAGACGAGGGTAAGGAGCCTGGATCATTATTTCAAAAATAAATACCAGGCAAAATGATTGCCATTTACAGCTGTTTTTGCCTGGCTTCTGATTTCAAACCTGGGTTTTTTTTGGCGGCGGGGTGGGGGGGTCAGTTGATGTAATAGCTAGCAACAGAAATTTAGTTAATTATGGGCAGCACAATATTCTCTGATTCATTTCTGATTAAATAATGATTTCACCAGTTTATACCCCAATTTATGCTTTGGTAGGAGATTTACAAAAATATATACACTGTAAGAAGATATAAAAACATGTGAGGAGATGAAGTGAAAGGAGTCATTCCTTCATTCACTCATTAATTTATACATTTAGCAAATATTAAGTACCTACAGTGTGCAAAGCACTGTTTTCTGTGCCTGGAATAGTTCAGTAAACAAAACAAACCCCCTGTCCTTATGGAGCCTATTCTAGCCTTGGGAAAAGGGTGTCAGACAGTAAATCCATGCAAAGGTAAGAATGCGACATGGCAGGTGTTCCTTTCTGCTGTGTGGACAGGAAAGCAGGATAATGGCAACGTGAGCAGCAGGAGTGAGGGCGGGAGTGGAAGGAGGTTGATGTTTAGGAAGAAGGTTCAGGAAGGCCTCTCTGATAAACTGACACTTGGACCTGAGATCTCAATGAACTGAGGAGTGAGTCATGTGACATCTGAAAGGAGAGTTTCAGAAGGAAAGAGCAGAAGGTCTAAAGGCTTGAAGGTCGGGGCATGCCAAGAGTGTTTGAGGAGCAGCCAGGAGGCGAAGGTAGCTGGAGCCGAGTAAGGGGGAGAAGGGGAGGAGGTAAGCGGACTTCAGAGGCCACTTTAAGAGTAAGATTTTCTCAGAGATTCAGGGAGCCGCTGGAGGGTTTTGGGGTAGAGTAATGAGCACAATTTGACTTTTATTTAAAAAAAGACCAATGGGCTGGGTGCAGTGGCTCACGCCTGTAATCCCAGCACTTTGGGAGGCTGAGGTGGGCAGATCACTTGAGGTCAGGAGTTGGAGACCAGCCTGGCCAACATGGTGAAATCCCATCTCTACTAAAAATACAAAAAATTAACTGGGTGTGGTGGCACGCACCTGTAATTCCAGCTACTTGGGAGGCTGAGGAGGGAGAATCGCTAGAACTCAAGAGACAGAGGTTGCAGTGAGCCGAGATCATGCCACTGCACTCCAGCCTGGGTGACAGGGCGAGACTCCGTCTCAAAAAACAAAAAGACAAAACAAGAGACAAAAAAGACAAAACAACAGAGTGTGGCTGGAAAGGTAGCCACCCCCATGCCTGTCACACAATGCATATTTGTGGGGAACCTGGCGCTAAACCATTCGCAGATGACCTGCTTCTGGGTCAGGGTTTCATATGTAGCAGAGCAAGAACAAAACTCTGGCAGCTGTGGTGAGAATGGTTGGTGGGGGAAGGGAGGAAGCAGGGAGGCTAATTAAGAGGCCATTGTAATAATTCAGACAAGATATGATGTTGACTTTGATCAGGGGTTACTAGTGGAGATTGTAAGAAACATTTGGATCTGGATACATTTTGAAGGGAATATTGACAGGATTTGCTGCTGATAGGGAGTGTGAGAGAGAAGTCTGGATTTTTCCTGAGTTACTAGAAGAATGGAATTGTCATTTACTGAGATAGATAAGGCTGAGGAGGGAGAATGATCAGTAAACTAGGAATGGAAGCAATCTTCCTCAATGTGGTAAAGCGAATCTACAGAAACCCTACAGTTCACGTTATACTTAATGTGAAAGACTGAATGTTTTCCTCCTATGATCAGGAAGAAGACAAGGATACCCACTCTGACACCTCTACCTAATGTACAGGAGGTTCTAGCCATTGCAGTTAGGCAAGAAAAAGAAGTAAAAGTTATCTGGATTATCAAGGAAGAAGTAAAATAGTCTCTATTTGCAGAGACATGATCTTACATATAGAACGTCCAAATGAATCAACTAAAAAACAATTAGAACTAACAAACAGGTTCAGCAAGGTTGCAGGAAACAAGATCAATATACAAAATTAAGTTCTATTTCTGTACACTAACAATGAACGTTCCAGAAATGAAATTAAGAAAACAATATCATTTACTGCCATAAGACTACATGACATCAGCCAGAGAGAGAGAGAAAGAGAGAAAGAGTCTGGGGCCAGGCGCAGTGGCTCAAGCCTGTAATCCCAGCACTTTGGAAGGCTGAGGCGGGTGGATCACGAGGTCAAGATATTGGGACCATCCTGGTCAACATGGTGAAACCCCGTCTCTACTAAAAATACAAAAAATTAGCTGGGCATGGTTGCGTGTGCCTGTAATCCCAGCTACTCAGGAGGCTGAGGCGGGAGAATTGCCTGAACCCAGGAGGCGGAGGTTGCAGTGACCCAAGATCGCGCCATTGCACTCCAGCCTGGGTAACAAGAGCGAAACTTCTTCTCAAAAAAAAAAAAAAAAGAGAAAGAGTCTGGATAGAGCGGGGAAGAAGAAGGTTTGAACCCCAGATCACCCAAATTCAAAGGTCAGGCAGATGAAGAGAAGCAGTAAGGCAGTAGGGCAGGTGGACAACCAAGAGAGTCACTCCTGGCGAGTATTTGAGGAAGGAAGAGGTGATGAACAGTATGTGGTGCTGCTGGAGTGAGAGGAGGACTGGGGTTTGACAGCTGAGTAAGTTGAATGAGCCTGAGTGAAAAGCGAGAAAGAATGAGAGTCAGAGATAGGAGAAAAGGTCTGTCTGGAACCAATACTTTTTTTTGAAAAATGTAGTAAACGTGGAACACTAGCAAAATCAATATGCAAGCCTATTTTTCCTTATTAAATTCAATGGACATGCATTTTATTTGCTCTCGATGACTCTGAAGTCTTGTAAATGTGCACGTTCAGTTTCCACACGACCTCAGTGTAGTCTGCAGCAGTTTGCTGAGTGGACTGTTCTTGTCAGTGGATCCCGCCGTGGCAACATGAACAAAAACGGATTCAACATGGACATCACAGAGTACTCGCCCTGATGCAGGAGGCACCTGTTGGAGAATAAACATCGGTCTCACCCTCTAAGAGGCCACCTATCTCCTTGTTCAGAAAGCAGGAGGCATGAAGTTTGGTCCCACATAAGTTATGATCATGAACAAGTGAAACATTTTGCACAAAGCATTATCCTTTTCTATAAATGATAACCGCTATCTGCTCTCTTCCTCGTAGTTTTGACATTTGTGTGGTATTTTAGTCTGAATTGCTCATATAAGTTTCATACAACCCTGCAAAGTGGGTGGATTTCTTTTTTAATCCCCGTAAAGAAACAGGCTCAGAAAGAGGGAACACTTTGTCCACCCTCATGCTGTTTGGAAGTGATAGAGCCAGGACCACTCTTTCAGACCCACAAGCTCGCCACCAGACCAGGCTGTGGGATTTTTTAATCCTTTTCCACATTCGAATTTAACGTCAGCTGTGCTTTGATAATTTATGTCCTATTTTTGTGATCACAAATTTTCAGGTTGAATTTAGTGTCACTCTGGGTGTGTGTGTGTTAAGTAAAGAGACCAAACAGTGCTGGTTTTGAATTCTCTTCAGTCTGGAAGTGCTGCCTTGTAACCGAGTTGTTTCCTCTTCCACAGCATATGAGCTGTTTGCCTTCATCAGTCACATGGGAACATCCACAATGAGTGGTCATTACATTTGCCATATCAAAAAGGAAGGAAGGTGAGTCACTTTTAGAAGGTAAATGACGGCTGCGATTTATTGAGTACCTACTGTATGCCCAGCACTCTCCTAGGTACACTGTATGCTGTCTCATTGGGTTCTCATACTGCTCTTGTAAAGGGTACACGGTTAATGCCTTTTTACATATCAAGACGCTGAGACTCAGGGAGGCCGAATAGCTTGACCTTAGCTAGTAAGTAAAAGCCACTTGCAACCATCATACCAGTGACTTCCCAAAATAAAGATGCAGCCTGCAGCAGAATGTATGCTGTGATTGCAACCTCCATAGGATTGCCATGTTTAGCCAACAGAGGAAAACAAGACAAGAAAAACCAGGATGCCCTATTTAACTCGAATTTCAGATAAATAATGAATAATTTTTTAGTATAAATAATTTCAGAGTCTATGTCCCAAATATTATATGGGGCATGGCTATACTCAAATCATTTATTGCTTACCTGATACTCAGATGTAACTGGGTAACCTGCGCTTTATCTGGCGGCTCTAAATCTTCAGTGCTTTCCCTTACCACAGCCTTGGCAGCTGGCTTCTGAACGTTCCTGAGTAGAATTGTTAAGTGTGTGGTGAACTGGGAATGACAGCTGTGGGGTGAAAGGCGGCTGCTTTCTTCAGAACCTCTCCCCGGGCTGGATCCCCGCAGGCCCCACTGGTGCCCTTCCCACAGGTCCAAACAGTGGTGGTGGGTCAGCCCTTCTGCTTGAGGGCAGCACTCAGGCCACGTGGACGCTGGTGGAACACCTGAGTGTAGCCTCTTGCTCCGTCCCTCCCTCCCACTGCAGGAGGGGCCAATTCTCACCTGGATTCCACTGTGTGTCTTTTAGTTTTGTCTTCTCAACTTGATTAATAAAATAGTTGAGCACAGGGATTTATCTTTTTTTGTTTGTTTGTTTGAGATGGAGTTTCACTCTTGTTGTCCAGGCTGGAGTGCAGTGGAGTGATCTCAGCTCACTGCAACCTCCACCTGCCGGGTTCAAGTGATTCTCCTGCCTCAGCCTCCCGAGTAGCTGGGATTACAGGCATGTACCACCACACCCAGCTAACTTTTTGTATTTTTAGGAGATTCAGGGTTTCACAATATTGGTCAGGCTGGTCCTGAGCTCCTGACCTCAAGTGATCCACCTGCCTCAGCCTCTCAAAGTTCTGGGATTGCAGCCGTGAGCCACTGCGCCTGGCTGGGACTTATCTTTATAGTGAATTATTTTTATTGCAATCATGATATCTCTTTTAAAAACACTTTATGGAGTGAAGTAAAAGAAAAAAGTGAAAATGCTTTTTAAAAGAAAAAAGCTTAATTATAATTTTAAAAGCAATAAAATTCATTGTAAATAATTTAGAAATATAAGAATATACAAGAACATGTGCTTAGAACCCTAACAATAACCATTTTCTACATTTTGAGATATTTTTCTCTGTCGTTTTGGCTCACTGGAAGAAAGTATATGTATGTCTCTCTATGCACATACTACATATAAATATGCACAACTTAACTAAAAGCTTAAAGTATATGCGGAGTACATACAATTTTTTAACTTGTGTTTTCCCATTTCACATTATATTGTGATTATTTTCTCACTTTGCCAGACATTCTTTGAAGAAATTTTAATAGTTCAATGCATGGATTTTTTTTTAAGCATTGTTGTACATAATTCTTTGACTCAATTTCTAAGGCCGTCTACGGATTTCTATAAAGGGAATTACGGAATCAAAGGTTAAAGTGTTTGGAGGTTCCTGATACATTTTAGTAACTACTTTTCGACTGAGCTGAAGAATCAAAAAGCAGTTGTAGCTGGGCATGACGGCGAAGGTGTGTGCCTGGGCTCCCAGCTACTCAGGAGGCTGGAGCAAGAGGATCCCTTGAGCTCAGGAGTTTGAAGCTGCAGAGTATGCTACCATACTCCAGCCAGGGGAAAGAATGAGGCCTTGCCTCTTAAAAAAAAAGAAGCAGTTGTGATTCCCTACCAGCATTCTGTTCTTTTTTATACAACAAACTTGAGTTTAGTATCTTAAAACATCATGGTTAAGTATTGTGCGCCATATGACTTAGTAGCTTCTTTCTGCAAAGTTTCCTGAAAGTGACTTAAATCCATCAAATGCTTCTGTCTTGTTTTCAGATGGGTGATTTACAATGACCACAAAGTCTGTGCCTCAGAAAGGCCCCCTAAAGACCTGGGCTACATGTACTTTTACCGCAGAATACCAAGCTAAACCTCAAATGTAAAAATTGGCGAGAGGAAGCCATACACCTTTTTAATTTGCCAAAAAAAAAAAAAAAAAAAAAAAAAAAGAAAAGAAAAGAAAAAGAAGCAGAAGAAGAAGTTGTTGAAACAAGCAGACATGAAGGAGTACATGGGGTATTTATAGTTTATTTAAAGAGCACCATCAGTTGACGCCTTCTGAAATAGAACTGGGAAGAAATTTTTATTAGTGATGATACACTATTGTATTGTAGATAGTTTTTATAAATGTTCAAGGAGAAGATATTTAAAAACATAAAAGTATTCATATTGCTGGTGGAGAATCTGCCATCAGCACATCAAAAATGGGGATGTGTCCCCAGCCCTCTATTGTGCTTTGGGGGTCAGTGGTAGTGGCCTCCAGAGAAACCAAACAATGTGGCCAGTGGTCTGGCCTTAACCACAACAAATGAAAAGCCCACTTGTGTTTCACATAGAAAGTCAGCAATTGGGCGGGGCTTTATTTGTGACATAATTTTTTTCATGACATACAATAATTTCTGATGTATCCATGTAGATATTATGCTCTGTCCATAATAGAACCTCTGCAATGAAAGATGTTTTTAATTTAAAGCATATCAAAATTCATAATACGATTGTGTGAATGTGTGTGAGAGTGTGAGACTTTTACTAGGAAAGTGAGTCCACTAGAAAATCTGTGACAAGTTGTTTTTAAAAAGCTGAACAGTAATTGGTATTAAGCATATCTGAAAAAAGCAAGTAAGTGTTTTAACAAAACTACAACTCAGGAAGCTTCAAGGAGATTAGTTTCTCACTTAGATTTTTAAGGAGTAAAAAGGGCTGAGTTATGCTTTTCAGTGCTGTCGAAAATTCACTTGGGTTTGGGACATTTGCTGGTATAACGCTAGATGCCCACAGCAGCATGATATTGTACTTTGTCAAAGGTAGATAAATTCTCTGTTTCTTAGCAGCCCTTTCCACAAAAGGTGTGGTGTTTATTTTTAGTTAAAATAGCGAATCTCTTTTTACCATCTCACATGATAACTCTCTGGAGTCATGCTGTGTGCCCCAAGTTTGTCAGTAGCTTTCCCATCTCTGAGCTCTTTATCTGCCTCCATTTCCTTGTTTCTCTGGGGCCAGAGTCTCATCTCTGCCCTTTTTTGGTTTGTCACCTTCTGACTTGCCTTCACTGCTTCTCTGATGTGACCAACAGTGTGATCTTGGATGCTCTAAGGATTTTAGATGCAGAGAAACTTTATATAACATTATGAAAGACGATCCTTTCCATTTTGATTATTTCAATATTTTAGTTGCAACCTGGGATTAGATGAGATTCCAATGTGATAAAAAGCAGAATGAAAGCATTCTATAATTTCTGTAATTTTCCTACTGCTTTGTACCAAATTCCAGAATCTCTGGAATTGCTGTTTCAGATTCTTCAGTCAAATGAAAAAGGATTTATTGCTGTCTGTTTATCATGTATTTGTGTGGTTGAAAGGGTCTTTTTAGAAACTGTAGGAAAATAGAACCAGCCGGGTGAAATAGAGCACAGACACTGGATGAGGATGAGGTGAGCTGGGAATGATCAGGATTCTGGGCACAGTGGGGGCCTGTCTCACAGGTGATCCTTTGGTGCCACATGAGCGAGGGACATGGTGTCTGAGGCCCCCCCAGCCTGGATGCCTGAGCGCTGCTCCTAGCTGGCTGTGGGCCTTGGGCAGGTCCCTCGTCCCTCCTGTGCCTCCCTGCTCTCATCTGCACAATGGCGTGATGACACCTGCCCTCTCTTTCTAGTCATGCTTTGAGGATACAGTGAGCTTGGTTATGGTGAGCCTTCAATGAGCAGAATATGGCGCGCCACGGTTAAAGTGAGCCTTCAGTGAGCAGAATACGGCGCGCCACGGTTAAAGTGAGCCTTCAGTGAGCAGAATACGGTGTGCCACAGTGGGTCCCGGTGGACTGCTCCCTGCCTCTTCTCTTCCGATGCTTTCCTCAATGTGGGAACAGATGAGATTGGCAGAAGGAGGGAGCTCCCGGGGCAGTACTTTTCTATCAGAGTGTGCCCACTGGTGTCACCTCGTAATGTTGACTTGGGCTTCCTAAAGCAGCCCCACTCTGTTCTGAGAGTCACTGACTCCCGTGGAAATCCCCACACGAAGCAGCCTTACAAAGTCCAGTCCCCCAGGGCACAGCGAGTGTCCTGGAATAACGGCCCCACACCTGCGTCAGAAATGGCTTGTTTTCAACGACGTGATAAAAGCAAAGACCTTTTCTTTGGAATTGAGAGCGACTGGGGGGTTTGGATTGAATTGTGGACAAAGATAACATGTGTATTTTGAACAAAATAAAAATTTTATAACAAAACTTTGAACATCAGTGGCATAAAATCAACATTTAAGACTATAGGCTATACATTGATTCATTGCATTAACCAGCTCCTTTGATGCCTAGACATGTTGTAGGAAAGCCTGCTATGGCTGCCTTGTTTTCTGCCTCACAGCACAAAGGGCTATTTCTGTAAGGTGAAGTTTTGTATATGTGCTATTCTTTACTTCAGATTGAGAGTTGGGAGAAATGAGCAAATAATGGATTTCTTACTTGCTTAAAAACATATTCATATGTGTATCTTGACATAGACAAGGCAGGTTCCCTATAAAAGTCTGGAATGTATCACTTAGTTTCACACTTGTGTAGACACAGTTATTTGTAACTGAAAAGTAGAAAAACACATGGATGTGTCACCTCATTTTCAGTCTCTTGGGGGTCCTCTGTGTGAGACATGGTGGTCTAATTGTGAAATTCTCACTGTATATGGGTGTCTGTGTGAAAAACAGCACTTTCTTCCTGTAAATACCTTTTGATATCCATTTGTGTAGAATTCCAATGAATGTGTCTTTGGAAAAGGTAATGTATCAAAGTTTTTATTTTGTCAATTGATCTAAATGCCCATATAGCTAATCAGAAATCCAGTTGGGTTCACATTAGGATTTTCTTTTAAAGAAAAAAAATATATGCAGAACAGACTGTTGGAGGATTCATGTGTTAGTGACACTTTACATCAATGTTGCTTCAGTATTTTGGAATTGACTAGGCTGCTTCCTTCTACCTACCAGAGAATGTGCCTGCTATTTCCCAGTGCTTACCTGGGCTGTAGGAGTCCAGTGGGGATAGCTCCAGCCTCTTGCTTTCTGAGTCATTTATTCCGTTTACCTGAACCAGAGCCTTACCTGCAATTCACGGTGAGCACTGGTCTGTATCCTGACCCCACTCTAAGTGAGATGGGCTGAGTCGTCGTACCTCTCTGGGCCTTTTCATTTGAAACAGTTGGTTATACTGTTGAGCTCAGAAGTCCCCTCTTGCCCTAACATTTAATTTTTATTTTCCTGTGGTTACCAGTAGGGTCCGACGTGAAATGTGAGGGATCACTTAGAGATCTGGAGGTTATATTTTTGCATTCTTAGAGCTTGTACTCCCCAGGTGAGGACATGTGTTATTCTTAGTGTCCCTTAGTGTCCCTGCCCCCCGTTTGTATTCCTGCTCCCCTTAACTGTACTTTTTTGGGTAATCCCCCGCCTTTTTTTTTGAGGCGGAGTCTTGCCCTGTTGCCCAAGCTGCAGTGCAGTGGTGCAATCTCATCTCACTGTAACAACTTCTACCTGCTGGGTTCAAGCGATTCTCCTGCCACAGCTTCCCAAGTTGCTGGGATGTAGGCGCGTGCCACTACGCCCAGCTAATTTTTGTATTTTTAGTAGAGATGAACTTTCACCATGTTGGCCAGGCTGGTCTTGAACTCCTGACCTCAAGCAATTCACCTGCCTTGGCTTCCCAAAGTGCTGGGGTTACAAACATGAGCCACCACATCCGGCCCCACTTTTTTCTACTCTTGAAACAATGTTCCAGTCCATGAGGTGCTTTGCCTCCATCTCCCTCAAGAACAAAACAAAAAATCCATTTAAGATGTCCTCCTAGGAAAGCATAAGACCTGCCTTCATGTAAATCTGACACCTTTGTAGAATATTTAAAAATTCTAGAAGAGGATGGGAAACAAAAGTCTAATTCAGTTAGAGCTGTGATCCCCAAACTGTCTACTGCAGAAAGGCCGTCTTGTCACCTTGCAGGCATCACTGCTGCTAATCACATCAGTACAGGCCTTCTGTGGGGAGTGGGGAGATGGCAGGGGCGGGCAGGACCTGGGTATGGGGTTAGATAAAATGCGATAATATCTTCACGTGAGATAAAAAATCCTAGGCTACAGAGCAGGTTCTGTACTCAGAGTCGGTATCTGAGGTCACCTGCATGGTGTTACAGGGATTTTTCCACTCAGTCAGTCACTCTAAAGAGTTTGCATCAGACTCTAGACCTGTGCTACTCAGCGTGGGAGTCAACAGCCACATGTGGCGATGACTTCTCAGAACGTGGCTGTTCAAATTGAGAGTGTGCTGTACACATAACGTACACACCAGATTCTGAAGACTGGGTGCCAAAAAGGAATTTAAAATATTCCTTCAGTATTTCATGTTGCTAACATGCTGAAAGGACTATATTTTGGATATATTGATTAAGTAAAATATTAGCAATGTAATATAGATATTATTAAAAATTGATTTTATCCTTTTTATCTTTAAGAAACAAATGTGGCCCTTAAAGAATGTAAAATTAGACAAGTGAGTAACATGGTACTTCTAATGGGCAGTGCCAGGCTAGACTTACATGGTGCGGGGTAGGCAGAGAAATCCATGAATAGGAAAGGCAATTCTGCAAAGCATCTAAGTAGACAGAAACAACACAAATATTTTTGCTGGAGTCAGCAGCACTGTAAGGCACAGAACATCTCCCAGAAAGAATTATCTTTTTTCTGCCTAAAAACCAACATATATATATATATATATATATATGATCCCAATTAAAAAACAAAAGCAAATGAGCCCCAGACTGCCCATCTTCAGCTCTGCCTGGGGGCTGCTACCTTTGCTCTTCCAGTGTCTTCTAGGTGCCGAGGATATTAGCCACATGAGGGTGTGGGGCACATTTGTTTCACTGTAGGCCAAGTTCTCCCGTGGTTTCCCCTCCCCAGGTATTGTTGAGTCTGTTCAAAGCTGCGGGTGTTGAAGCGCTGCGGAAACCTGCCGCTGTCAGGGCGCTGCTTGTCCCGGCCTTGCAGAGGCCCAGTCTGTTCCTGTACCCACCTGTTTCAATGGCTCCTGAAAGAGTTTGTATTTATTTTATTTTGCAGTAGTCACAGTTGTTGTTAAACTATATCAAATGTTTTGGGAGAGTATTTGCCTGTGATGGAAAGATAAATGGATGATTTATTGCTTCAATTGTTTTAAATTAAAAGCTATTCTCACAATCTGAGGCCCTTTATGGCTCTTTTTTTCCCCTAATTTTGAAAAATGCCAAGTAAATTGATTCTGCCATTGATTGTTTTATATGTCAGTGCAGCAGGTAACTTCAAACATGATGAATCTTATTTCTTTTTAGGGGTTCTGGTGTTACCAGGCAGGTGTCACAGTGGAACCTCAGTGATGGCACGTTGTTGCCTCTGTGGAGGAGGGAGGGGCTGGGGCAGGGCGGGGTCTCCTGCTTGGGTTTCTCTACTGGATGTCACTGCACAGATCTTTCTGTTGTTCCCTGGATCTCAGTTTGCTGACGGCCCCCTTAACACAGATAAAAGCAGAATGGGTACATGCTACGTCCAGAGATTTAGGTGTTTCTATGACACTGTGTCTCTAAGGCAATGAGTTCTCTGTTGCTGCTGTGACAAATTACCATAAACTCAGTGGCTTAAAATACATGTATTAGTATGCAAATGGGTGGGGCTAAGATCAAGGTGTGGGTAGGGGAGATTTAGAGAGAATCAATTCCGGCTTTTTCTAGCTTCTAGTGTCTGCTCACATTCCTGGGCTCATGGTCTGCCCACACCAGTGGCATCACGGCAGCCCCTGCTTTCACAGCCACATCTCCCCGGCTCACTTACTGCCCTCTGATAAAGATCCTGTGGGCCAGGCATGGCTGCTCACACCTGTAATCCGAGCACTGTGGGAGGCCAAGGCGGGTGGATCACTTGAGGCCAGGAGTTCAAGACCAGCCTGGCCAGGATGGGGAAACCCCACCTCTACCAAAAATATAAAAATTAGCCAGGCATGGTGGTGCATGCCTGTAATCCCAGCTACTTGGGAGGCTGAGGCAGGAGAATCGCTTGAACCCTGGAGGCAGAGGCTGCAGTGAGCTGAGATGGTGCCACTGCCCTCCTGCCTGGGCAACAGGGTGAGACTCCATCTCAAAAAAAAAAAAAGACCCTCGTGATTACATTGATCTCACCTAGATAAGCCAGAATATTCTTCTCAAGATCCTCAGCATAATCACATCTGCAGAGTCTGTGCTGCCATGTGAAGTAACATAGTCACAGGCCTGTGAACATCTTTGCATGGAGTATTATTTTTCCCACCACATAGGATATGTTAATTGGTGCTTAGAAATCCATTCAGTGCTCGTTTTTTTTTTAGAAGAATGAACCGATCTATTTTTAAAAATCCAAGTAAATGACCAGCGTCCGTGTTCTGCCAGATGTTTTGCTGAGGGAGATGAAACAAGGAGGGAATGATTAAGACAGCGAAGGGTGATTTGCTACCAGAGAATGCTGAAGTTTCTGGGACAATGTTCGCAAGCCCCATTACTCACATCCATTTTCTTTTTTTTTGACAGTTTCGCTCTTGTTATCTAGACTGGAGTGCAGTGTGTGAACTCAGCACACCCTCCGCCTCCTGGATTCAAGGGATTCTCCTGAGTAACTGGGATTACAGGCACGTGCCACCACACCCGGCTAATTTTGTATTTTTAGTAGAGGGTTTCTCCATGTTGGTCAGGCTGGTCTCAAACTCCTGACCTCAGGTGATCCGCCTCAGCCTCCCAAAGTGCTGGGATTACAGGCGTGAGCCACCGTGCCCGGCCGTCCACTTTCTCTGCCTCATCGTGCCGAATCAGGGAGCTTCCCAGTGTGAATATGCACTGTTGAATTTTTGGTCTTGCTTTTCAGTGCTGTTGGTGATAAACTTCAGTTGTAGTGGGAAGTTTAGTAGGAAGCCGTGAGCCATTCTCATCCCTCGTGCCACAGTCATTTCAAAACCAGCCAGGAAAAGTCTGTCATTGCGGTAGGGAGGCAGGGTGTAACTGTGGCAGTGGAGGCACACAAACCTGAAGCCATGTCCTGTTTCCAACACGGACTAGCCGTGTGACTTCGGGAAACACAGAATTTCCTGAGATTCAGTCTTTTCATCTGTACAGAGGGCACAGTAATACCTGCGGTGGGTCACATAAAGCACACGACAGTTCGGTGAACACAGGGCCTGTTTACATCACCGTTTTCAGCCATTTGGCATTGACTTTATGGAGGTTTTGACCATTTGTTTCAGTCTAAAAGATTTTTTAAAATATCAGAATTATGCCAACATTGACGACTTTTTTCCAAGACTATTTTTCTGGAGATAACGTCATTAAGCCGGTTAATTTTGTTGATGTAAATAGCATGGCTCATCACTCAATAAACAGTAAACATCTACTAGGTGCTATGCATTCTTTTCTTAGAATGTATCTGTAAATAAAGATAAGATTCCTGCCCTTGTTTCATTTTATTTCTTAGCAAGGAGAGATAGATACTAAACATAAAAAATAAGTAGAATCTATAACAAGAGGTGTTAAATGCTGCAAAATGAAACACACAGGAGTGGTGAGGGTGCAGATCGCAGTATAAATAGGGTCTGCAGGAAACGTCATTTGGAGGTGAGATTTGAACCAAGACTTGAAGGGAGCGAAGGAGTCACCCAGGGGGTATTTGGGGAAAGAATGTGCTTGGCAGAGGGACTAGCTGGTGCATGGGCCCCACAGTGAGGGGTGTCTGCCATCAGAGGAGCATCAAAAGTATCAGTATAGCTCAAGAGAAGGGAGCGAGGGGGAGAGCAGTGTGAGAGGAGCTCAGAGAGGGGCCAGCCTGCCCGGGCCCAGGAAGCTTTGGGAAGGGCTTCACTCGAGGGCAATAGGGCATCCTTGTAGGGCCATGGGCAGAGCAGTGACCCAATCTGACTGAAGTTTCATAAATTCTTGTTCAGATGAGATGGTAGGAAGGCAAGGATGAAGACTGGGGCTCCTGTGGTTGGCAAGGTGGGAGGGTGATGGCTCAAACGGTGGGAGCAGTGAAGCTGTGGGAATGGTCAGATTCGGGATGCATTGAAGGTGAGACCTGAAAATTCCCTGATGCATAGGGTGTAGGGTATGAGGGAATGAGCGTAGCTAAAGCTAACCTCAGTTTTTATCCCGAGGAGCTGAAGAGTGTAGTTACAATGAACTGAGATAGGGAAGGCTTGGTGGGACTGGGGTGGTAATGGTGGAGAAGGACGGCTGCAAGTCCAGTTTAAGATATGCTAAGTTTGAAACGCCCATTAGAACTCCACGGTTGATGCTGAGTAGGAAGCTGGATATCCAACTTGATTTTGGGAGCGAGATCTGGACTAAAGATGGAAACTTGGGACTTGTTGACATCTAGATGATATTTGAAACAATGGGACTGGGTACAGTCAGCAACGGAGGAAGACAGGACACAGAAGTCCAGGGATTGTGAGCTAACAAAGGAGGCTGAGCGGAGTGACCTTCGAGGTGGACGGAAGCCAGGAGCATGGTGCTTGGAGTGGAAGCTACGAGAAGGCAGTGTCCTATGGAGGTGAGAGTGATCAACCTTCCAGGAACTGTTACACGGTAAGTGAGCTGAGGGCTGGGAATCCAGGTCCTGCGTGATCTCTGTGGGAGCAGTTTTGGAGGCACGGTGAAAGGGGAGGGTTGAGGAGACAATGGGAGGAGAGGAGTTGCAGATGACAAAAGCAGCCAGCTCTTCGAGGAGTCTTATAACAGTGGGAAGCAAAGAAGGGAGGGGTGGCTGATGGGAAATGGGGTGAGGTCAAGGGAAGGTTTTTGTTTTTAAATGTGAGAAATAAGTTGGTCAAATAGAAAAAGAAATATTGAGGGTGTAAGAAAGAGATGGAAGATGTCCTTGAGCTAATCTGAGGTCCTCGAGCAGGGAAAAGGTGATGGGATCTGGTGACAAAGTGGGGAGGTGATTTAGATAAGGATACAGAAAGACGGTGGGAATGGGGGAAGGCAGAGGCCAGGGAAGCGGGGAGGTGATTTAGACAAGGACACAGAAAGACGGTGGGAATGGGGGAAGGCAGAGGCCAGGGAAGCGGGGAGGTGATTTAGACAAGGACACAGAAAGACGGTGGGAATGGGGGAAGGCAGAGGCCAGGGAAGCGGGGAGGTGATTTAGACAAGGACACAGAAAGACGGTGGGAATGGGGGAAGGCAGAGGCCAGGGAAGCGGGGAGGTGATTTAGACAAGGACACAGAAAGACGGTGGGAATGGGGGAAGGCAGAGACCAGGGAAGCGGGAGCTGATTTGGATAAGGACACAGAAAGATGGTGGGAATGGGGAAGGCAGAGACCAGGAGTGCAGCTATTAGTGGTGAGAAGACACAGTCCTGAGAGAATCTGACAGTTCTCATTTTCCTGCTTTATTTTCTCAGCAAAACAGGAGGCAATTTCATCAGTTGAGAGCAATGACGGGGGAATTTAGGGATTTGAGAAGAGAGGAGAGGTGTGAAGTAGTTGTCCCAAACTCCACTTGCCAACTAGTCTTACCCCACTTGCCACGTAAGAGGAAATTTTCCTGACCACCTACAGATAAAGGTGCCCCCCACGCGTTCTCATGATAACGTATTTGCCTTGTTCTGGTACTCTGTAGCACATGGCATTCTTAACTGTTCAAGTATTGGCGGGTGTCCTTTCGCAGACATCTATTCCACGGCAGTTCTGACCTCATTTACTTACTACTGTATCTCACGCCCAGAAAGGTGCCAGCACATAGTTTGTACCTAAATATTTATTGACCGACCAAAAAACCAGAAGACCCTAAAACTGAAATTTATTTTAATATTTTTATTCTAAAAGAATCACAAAATTCAATTTCAGGTTAGATAATATTTTAGTCTTAAAAAATTAACAAAGGAGGAAGATTTTTAAAGTTTTGTTGTATATCCAAAAATGCATTCCTGATTTCCAGATAACTCATGCAAAATCATATGTAGTGACATTCAGAAAAAGGACCTTTAGCCGCTAGTACAAATTGGATTCCATTTAATCAGAAGCAGTTCTGATCCCCAAATCCCATTTTGAAAGATTCCTGAAAAGACCCTGAAGCCGCAGTTTATTTGAAACCATAGTTTAAAATTGCACAAATATAAATACAATTTAATAATGTGAAAAAGGGAAGGCATGCTTCCAATAATAGTATGAAAATACTACCTTAATCTCGGTACGCAAAATAGAAGCCAACTGAGTAAACACATGGATATGATGAGGTTATTTTACGGTAGTAATTTTATTTCAAAGAGCGATGCAGGGAAATACTAAGATGAAGCCTTGATACTCAACAGTTGTGCTATGATACATCTGATCTCACTACATCACTGATACAGTATCACATAATATGCCAATAACTTTAAGATCTACCCCCCACTGCCATTAATTTACTATAGGTCACTTAATTTGAATTGGTGTTAATTTAGTAACCTAATGTAAACATTTAAACTTAATTTTTTGTTATCTATTTCAGCTTGAAAATGAAATCCCAAGATGTTAAACATTTGTGATCATGATGAGGAAGCATCACAGAACACTTTGTCTGAAAACAACATTTTTAGAATAGATAAGTAATACTCATAGATATACAAAATATATAGAAATGTCTTTTCTAAATAGTTAAATGTTTGTTACAGTTTGTAAAAAGTTTAATAATAATGGGTTTTTTTTCAACCAATGTAAACAAATTTGGGCAATGCGAATTGAAGAAAGTTCAGGTTAGATGATATATGCAGAAAATGAAAGGAAGTTGGTAAAAACTTAGGTTTGCTGTATTTCCTTTAACTACTGGTAATGTAGTCCATCATGGACACATTTTTCACGTGGCAGAGTTCTTGTGTGGTATCCATGCAAAAAACATTCTATATCTCAGTGAAAATGCCAAATACTTGCATTACCTCGTCGGGTGTGCATACCTCTTAGTCTTTTTGTGTGACACCATTTCCCTTTCCAAGAAATTTGAAGACCACCACCACTCCCCCAAAGGATGATACACATTTTACAGTTGGGCAAAGACCTGCCTAACTGTTGTTTCCATCTGAATATTGTTTTGAGTGCAGGCTTCTGAAAGTATCCCACGTTGCTCATCAGGTTTTGCTGTGACATTCTGCAGCACTGCAAGTTAGTTTTCTCTTACAGAGAAGGTCCTCAGAAAACAGTTCTGAGACTGGCACACTTGTCTCTGGACTGTGTTATTGTGGTATTTCTGCAGAGGGTGCAGGGAGGGGAAACTTCAAGGCAAAATGCCACGTAAGAGGTTGTTAAACCTCGAGGTTTAAGTTTCTGTTTTTCTCCTCTTTAACTGTTTAATGCCTCCTCACAGGGATCTTTGCTATGTGTGACTGTGTAGAATTCTGTCTTTGAGCTTATGGTATGGGTGTGAGGGTACTGGGGTGTATGGATGAGGAACAGAGCGGTTTCTAACATAAGACCCTGTGGTCTCACTGAGCTCTGCTCTCTCCCTTTCTGGTCTCCTTATAAAATCGGGGTTACAGGAGAAGGCAGTAAGAGGATTTCAGAGTTGGTTGTGAGTGACATGAAATCACCTCATCACTCCCTAAATCACATGTTTTTAGACCTGGTGATCAAGTCCAGTTTCTCATGGGATATTTGGCCCAAGCAGTTCAACTACCATACAAATAGGGCTGCATCAGACAACGTTGTGACACCTCACACACTCATGATGTGACATTTGCGGAAATTAAGGCCCCATATCTACCTGGCTGTGTGATGATTTTGGTGTGCCTGACATTACCCCAACCTCCTCACTTTATTTAGAATATCAGCTTTTCTAATGTATTCCTAAACTTTTAGAAAAATTTTGAAATGCATTATGAAGAATTTAGAGTCCAAGTCTTTATATGCTGAGACAGTCAACAGGATTTAGTTTAGCAGTGTCCAGACACTTGGATTTCTTTAGGTTTTGGATCTGTTGTGGCTCAACTGGTTTTTAAAGAAGTGTTTAGATGTCTAAGTACCCAGATTCTTCAGAGGATTACTTTGGCCCTGGGAACCCTGTACAAACCAGATGTGTGAATATCTGCCAAGTTCAGTGTGACAGCATGAAAACGATCTCAAGGATAGGATAAGAAAAGCATAGTCCACAAAAATGCTCCCTTGTATAGAGGCAAGGAACAATGAGCTAACCTGTAAGACTTAATCATGCACTGTGTAAATTTACATTCAGTCAAGTTATCTTGCATGCTTTGGTTAATATTTGAGTAGGCAGATTTGCAAGTACTAGTGCATGCAATATTTTTGTACCTGAGGTTATATGTTTTGCTTTTAAAAAATCGCTTTTTTACAACCTTTATGCCAGAATTTATCTATGAACACTCTTTAAAAAAAAAAATATATATATATATATATGTATCTACTTCTTAGTTCAAAACAGTTTAATTTCAGCCGGTTCTGTAACTACTGAGATGATAGGGAAACGAGAGTAAAATGTGGATAAGAAATGAATTTGAAATTATTTTACAAGGTTGAAATCATAAGTGTGCAGGTGTAATCATTTCTAAAATAAGAGGGTTCAAAAAGGATGGAATCTGAAGTAAGCCTTTAGAATATCCTGTTTCTAGAATGTTCTAGAAGTATCTCAAGATATGAAACAACCACCACTTCTACAACAGCTAACTTGAAGTCCAGTCCAATCTTGAGGAATGGATTCAGCAGCAAATAAGAAAAGGTCTCAGCATGATCAACTTGCTTTCTCTATATTCCCAAGCTCACAAAGTTTATGATAAAGAGTTTGGAAGCTGTTATGATAAGTGGGACTAGCTGCAACTGTGCTCTAGTCTCACTTGTATGGCAAGAATATACCAGAAATATTTATCTATACAAGTATTTAGACATGGGGCCCATGATTCAATATCATAGTTCTCTTAGAAGAATGAGGGAAGTGGCATGAAACTCTGAGAGTGAGTGTGTGAAACATAAGCGGACATTCCTGTCCAGTTACGTTTCCACGCTTTTCAGTTCTCCCAGATTGGCTGGGAAAGCACAGCTCATCGTTTTCTATTAAAGTTTCTTGGTGGACAAGATCTGCCTGGTTTTCAGTAGTCATGGGGAGTGAGTTCTGGAGGAAGTAAAGGGAATCAATCAGTATGATTGGCCCAGTAAGAGGGATCTTTATTCCTGCTCCTCTCCCCATCCCTCCGCCTCCTCCTCACCAGGAAGGTACAGCAGCCCATAGAATTAGTACCAGAAACGGTTATAACATGTTTTGAAACTCAGCAGTGATCACTGGCTTTCTCTATGTTTTCATCCAATTTGCAGGCAAAGTCAGCCCCTGAAAGTAACGTCTATGTAACTGAGTGGCCATTCTAGTAAAAAATCATCTTCTAGGAGCTGTCAGGCTGTTATGCCTTAATACATGAGAAAGGAAACGCAAGCCTTCTCAGAGTACCTCAGAAGGGATATAAGGATTCCCCCCCTTTCAAATGGAAAGAGTAATTTAAATGACAATCTTATGCCACACCAAAAATAGTTCTGCCAAAAAATAAAGTAGATGCCCTTTTAAAAAACCAAACATTTGCTATACATGATTTATACAAAAAGACTGTTCTGAAGTCTTGTCACTTATTTTTTGGTGGTGCTCCTATAAACTGTTGCTCATTTTTAAATAATGGTTTTTACTTAATTTTATAAAAGATTTTATTAAAAAATGCAACTGTTTTCCTCTTGGGCTGTAATTCTGGACTTCTTGACAGCCTATAAAAATCTTAGATCTGACGGATACTAGATATACTGGCGAAAGTCCTAGTAAAGTGCTCTGCAAATTGCCAAATGATGGTGAGAACGGAAGACTGTCTAGTCTTCCCTAAAACAGCTCCTTGGAGTTTGTGTTCCAATAGCAAAATCAAACCTGGGCCCTAGAATTTGCCGCCATTTAGCAACAAATTAATTATTTGACATTTATACTAGTTTCAGGCTGCAAATTCAGTTGCTGCTCGAAGTGTAGAGTGGCATCACGGACAGAACTCTTGCAGAGTTTGCTTCGAATCCTTTGTTCAGAGAATCCTCGTGGACTATTGAAGCTGACTTGCTGGTCAAGGTATGGAGACGGTCGGAGGAAGGAGCAGGGGGGGAAAGGATGCTCTTCCGTCAGGCATATTTTCCATCAGGCATAGTCAAGCAGCCCCTGCCGTGGTTTGGAGGCTGTCTCCAAGAGTCCTTACCGGACTGAGTTTCTCAAATTCTACAACTCTCAGATGCCATTCTTGAAAATACTGTTGAGCTTCACTTTGCTGCTGAGATGGTAGAGAAGCACAGGCTGAGACTGGATGGTCGCTGCTGCCCTTGAGGATGCCTGAATCCCTTTGCCTTCTGCTGAGCAGCTGGAGCTACTGCCTGGCCCAAGTGAGCTTTGACAATGAGTATCAAAACCCGGCATTCCCACAGTGCCCTCAGCGCTTTGTCTTTATGAACTAGAATAGCTTATAACATACATAACCCTCCGGGATCTGTGGTTTCTGTTCAGCTGAGGCCCCCTCACAACCCAGGGACTTCAAATGTAACAGAGGAGAGGATTTATTACTGCACCTAGCATTCGATTTATACGCATGTGCACACCTGCCTCTCAGGAGAAGCTGATCACTCAGGCAGTTAGACTGTTTTGACCCCAATTCTGTGGAGTTTTTGTTGCTGTTGTTTTGTTTTCCAGTGGGCAACTATAATCATGAGTGGAATGAGATTACTAACCAAAGAACATAAAGCAAAGTTAGGGTCAGACTACCTTGGGGAAGGTTCTAGACAAAGGAAGGAGACGACGTCAAAAAGAATGGGCTAACTTTCCAGACCTGACGTTGGCAAAACTGTATTTCGATTAGCATTTTGCAAACAGTGTTCCTCATTCTTAAAAAAAAATTATTTTTTTAAAATAATCACCAAGCCCCAAACACATTAAAAACATTCTGGAAACTAAGTGGAATTTATCCAGTTAAAACACCACTGCCAATAGAAAATTCCCGATACTTGCTAAATACTCAGAGAGCCAAAGAGCATGCGCTTTCATATCAAATCACCGGCATCCAGTGAGATTCAGTCTGAAGATGTTGCTCTTCTGTCACTTAGAATGCAAGGGGATAAACAGTGCAGATTATTATGAAACCAAGAACACATAATTTTTAGGAAAAAATGTTATTTATCACTCTTAATAAATATGATTTAAAATATGTGTGGTTTAAAAGGAATATTGGTGTGCAGGGCAGTTATAAAGCCAGTAAAATATGATGATAAAGCAAGTTAAACTGAACTCAATAGAAATCACGAGATCACCAGACTTTCTCCCTGCAGAGAATGCGTGGAGAGACAGTAGTACCTTGTGTCTTACTTCTGTTCATACAGTCCCAGAAAGCATGTGCATGAAAAGATCTGTTTGCCACATTTACACCTATGTCATCATATCTGCTTTAAGAAAAACATTCCTTCAAAACCCTACACTATGAAAAACTATTTTCAGGAATTGTTTATTTGGTCCGTTGATCGAATGAGGCTGAGTTCTCAAATCTTCCACCCCCAAGTTAAAAATTGGAGCAACGAAACAGAACTCCAGCAAGGCATAAATAAGATATTAAAGTGCATATATACAATCCCAGAAAAGTTTAGATTGGGAACAGCAAAAATTTCTAGTGCAAAAACTGCTTTTGCCAGCAAAGCTCCCTCTCTGGAATCAAGGGCTACAGTAAAAGTTAAAATTGGAACAGGTTTAAGCAATGCCTGTCTTTAGTCACGAGTTAATATATGTGCATGCACCAGTGGCCCCAGCTATGCTCAGTCTTGCAAAAGGAGACAGTTCAGAAACAGTCAGGTTTCCCCAGTCTGAAGCAGTGCTCTCTCCAGGTTTCCCTGAACAAGCTCCTCGGATGTGGCGTCAGCTGCAAGTGAAGAGAGAAACCCAAAGAACGCGTGTCGCAATATGCCTGCAACTTGTGCAGAGGATTCCACACACTTTCTTCAGCTCTCAGTTCTTCCTCTGAGCCTGACCTTGACGCTACAGACAACATTTTGTGCTTTTGGATCTGAACAGAGACTGGGCACTGTCTATAGGAATTAATTTGCTTGGGCTATATGACCATGGCCTTTTGAATATTTGATTTATCCTTTTGAAATTCATAATAAAATAGTTTTTCATTTTTCAGTACAATTACACAGATCGAAGATTATTAGTACTGGTATTATTCTTTCTTCAAGGATCCAAGTTGAAAGCTCTTAAGAGGACATCCAGGTCACCAAGATTAGCTGCCTGGAAGAGTTCTGGTTGGTCCATCAGAGAGAGTGCAATTCTGAGGGCAGCCCAGATGTTCCCAGAGATTGCAGGATGAGGAACTTGCTGTTGATTCCTGCTCTTTCTTTGCAAACTGAGGGCAGTGAGAAAATTGCTGACCGCTTCTCTAAGAAGGTAGAGAAACAGATATTTTAAAATTTGTCACATTTCAGAGTTAGCAAATGTAAACAAAACAAAACAAAATTGGATTAAGCGATTTTAGTCTAAAATCACCTCTTACGGCGTTCTGGATGGTCAAATGAACAACTTTCTAATTCTTTTATACTCTTTAGTGAGCAATCATTGTTAAATATAAGAAAAATAAAAAGCAGGCTGGGCACGGTGGCTCACACCTGTAATCCCAGCACTTTCAGAGGCCAAGGCAGCTGGATCACTTGAGGTCAGGAGTTCGAGATCAGCCTGGCCAACATGTTGAAACCCTACGTCTACTAAAGTTCAAAAATAGCTGGGTATAGTGGCACGTGCCTGTAATCCCAGCTACTTGGGAGGCTGAGGCAGGAAAATCGCTTGAACCCAGGAGACAGAGGTTACAGTGAGTCGAGATTGTGCCACTGTACTCCAGCCTGGGCAACAGAGCGTGACTGTCTCAAAAAAAAAAAATAAAATAAAACAACAACAGATTTTATTTTAGAAATGTCAAGTGGAGAGAAAGATTAATAGCAAAACCATGCAAATTCATTAATGCATTCAGTTTCCCCCTGCTCCAGGAATGATTTGGACACTTAATCCATCTGCAGATTTGATGTCTATAACTAGGTTTAAGAGGAGGAATATGGCCCTACATAAAAACACAGTGGTCTGATTTTTCCCATTAGTGGTGGACAAATGGAACACAGCTAGAGGGATGAGTTTGTTATTGGGCACCTGGACTTGAGTCCCAGTTACTTAGCAGTAGGCAATTTTCTCGTCTTTCCCAAGCCTTACTTTTCCTGAGTGTGTAATAGACATTTAAAGACTTTGTGAGGTGTGGTTGGATCAATCTACATGCAAGCTTTCACCACTGAGTAAGATCAGTAGTCCTCAGAGTGGGTCTGGAGAGGCTGGGGGATCAGTGAGGTCAAAATTATTTTTATGATGAAACTAAGATATTATTTGACCTGTTGCTTTCTTTTTTTTTTTTTTGCATGCTTACAGTGGAATTTTCCAGAGACTACATGGTATATGATCCCAAGAGGCATGCAGAAGCAGCTGTGGGAGTGTGTCTTCTAGTAAGCAAGATATTAAAGAGATTGGCAAAAATGTGAAACAGTGTCACTCTTCCAACTAAACTGAAAATTATTTTTTGTAAAATATATTATTTATGATAACATGTAGTTTTATTTTTTAAATTTATTTTTATTTTTTGAGACAGAGTCTTGCTCTGTTGCCCAGGCTGGAGTACAGTAGCACAAGCTCAGCTCACTGCAACCTCCCCCTCCCAGGTTCAAGCAATTCTTCTGCCTCAGGCCCCCTAGTACCTGGGATTATAGGTACGTACCACCATGCCTGGCTAATTTTTGTATTTTTAGTAGAGATGGGGTTTTACCATGTTGTCTGGGCTGGTCTTGAACTCCTGACCTCAGATGATTCACCTGCCTCAGCCTTCCAAAGTGCTGGGATTATAGGTGTGAGCCACTGTGCCTGGCCAAGTTTCATTCTTTTTAAATGAATTGTTAAAAATGTTTTCAGTTTAATTTCTAATATGGTAAATACTGATAGATATAACCCACATAAGCAAAAGCACTTTGAGGTTCTCAATACTTGTTAAAAGTATAGAGGGGTCTTGAGAACACCGAGTTAGAGGGAAGCTGAGTTAGATGCTGTCTGCAATCCCCCTGGCTCCTCTAGCCCACAAGTCCATGCTGCTGCTCAGGTGCCAGGTGAACCTGCTGGGTCTGCCCTCTTCAGTACTCCCACTCCACCCCAGCCTTGTAGAGTGGTCTGACATTCTTCCCAAGAACGATCATGCCACTTTAATTTGCATCCACTTTACTGTTCTCAAAAACCTTTCATACGCTTAATCTCATTTAATCCTGGAAGGCAGGTATTAGGCATCTGGTAAGAAACGTAGAAAATGAGGCTGGATTTCCAATTCTAATGCACACAAACCAGGAATTTGCTCATGTATATAGTTGATCTGCCTGACAATAAAAGGAAAGTGAGAGATGGTCATGGTGTGTGTGGCAACCTGGATAATGGAATGGAGTAGGTGCTCTAGTCACCCCCTTCTGGGTTTCCTGCAATCAAGCAAGAGAGGGCAGTTTATAAGTGGATGGACACAGGGGTCTGCCTGAGCGGCCCTTTTTACCCCCGCTTCACAGGATGGCAGCTGCACTGATGTCTCCCAGTTTTCTCTAATAGGTTCAGAGCTGCAAGAACCCAAGGGAAAGGAAGATCTTGAAAGCCTCTCATTTCTGGCTTCTTCCAGCCCCAAGTATGTGGTGATGTGGAGAGAAACAGAAGAGTTGAACTTACGCACCTCAGCAAATGACTCCCGCCTCCCCTGTATCTTTACAGGGGAGTCTGAACCTCTTCCCTTGCTTGCGAACTCAGAGTCCTTCTGGGGGGCTCAGAAGGTTATACATGTATATGTGCGAATAGTTTTCAAATATTCCACACACATATGTATAAGTAAGTTTAAATCGTTTGTGTACATTGTCATGATTAATAAAAAGCCCACTCATTTAAAAGCATTATGTTACAGCTTTCCCTCATTATACTCATACTAAAATATTACTATCAAGGGGGATAAAATTGTCATCAAAAGGAGTCCTCGTTTTTGAAAAGGTTAAGACTGGTTGGTCTAAGCTCTACTCTGGAGCTCTACTGACAAAGGTGTAACATTTTGGGCCACACCCAAGTTTCACACCAACAGTTTCCTCTCCTTATTGTAACTGTATATGTACCAGGGTAGTGCTCGCCTTTGACTCTCTATAGAAAATATGACATGACAAGCAGCAAGTGTCACAGCTACGTACACCAATACCTGCAGTTCTTGAGGGAGCGGTCCCAAGACGTTTTGGAACTGGAAGGTACTTGTACCAGCTCCTCACTTCCTTTTGAGCCCTTTCTCTATTGAGGGTTGTTGTTTCCTGAGCCTGCGCTTACACCTCAAGTTCTGCTTCTTTGCAGAATCCATTTAACATTTATGTCTCTCTCGCCGGGCACGGTGACTCACGCCTGTAATCCCAGCACTTGGGGAGGCTGAGGCAGGTGGATCATTTGAGGTCAGAAGTTCAAGACAAGTCTGACCAACCTGGTGAAACCTTGTGTTTACTAAAAATACAAAAATTAGCCAAGCATGGTGGTGGGCGCCTGTAATCCCAGCTACTCGGGGAGCTGAGGCAGGAGAACTGCTTGAACTTGGGAGGCAGAGGTTGTAGTGAGCTGAGATCATGCCACTGCACTCCAGCCTGGGTGACAGCGAGCCTCCATCTCAAAAAAAAGAAAAAAATTTACTTCTCACTTGATGGTCTTTCTTTTCTTTTTCTTTTTTTCAGGAAAAAGCACAAAATGCTCACCATTTCTCAGATTTCCCACATCTGGCATGACAACTAAAGACCCACAAAACTTAGCTGATATGTTTCAAAGTAGCCAACTGAGTAGTGTTGCCAGACTTAGCAAATAAAAATACAGAATGCTTCGCTAAATCTGAACTTCAGATAAACATCCCTTGGTATCCATGGGGGACTGGCTTCACAAACCCCGAGAATACCAAAATCTGAGAATGCTCACGTCCCCTGTATAAAATAGCACAGTATTTGCATATAACTTGCACATATGTCCCATATACTTTAAATCATCTCCAGATTACTTACAGTGAATAAAATGTAAATGCTATTGCATTTGTTATACTGTATTATTTTTTAAAAATTGTATTTTTTAATGTATTCAATCCACAGTTGGTTAAAACCATGGATGTGGAAGCATGGATGGGTGGCCCAATGGCCCAACTGTACAGGAATATCTCACGCAACGTTTGGAAAATACTTATACTAAACACTTACTTGTTGTTTATCTGAAATTCAAATTTAAGTGAGCATTCTGTGTTTTATCTGGTAACCCTAAAATTGAATTCTTCAGTATGGGAGACTTTCTGCTCGAGGATTTAAAATTTACGCCTTAACGGAGTTGGCCATCTTTACCTGTCATGAGCCTTCATGGGCTCCTGCAAATAGTAACCCTGCTGAATTTTGTAACTGTGAATGCTAATAAACTGCTCTATTGATCCTGCAAGTATTTTTTCTAATCCTAAGAAGTTACAATTAAGAAAAACTCATCTAGGGGCTTTATAAGAGCCTCCTTAAATTGAAGCTTTATATATATTCAAAGCTTTACATATATAATATATGGTATTTATGTATAATATATAGTGTACCTATATAATATATAGTGCATATAGATATTTAATATGTGTATGTATAAAATATAATAAAAATATATAGTGTATATATAACATGTGTGTAATGTTTATATTACATTCCCTTTTAAAGAACAGTTATAACAATTACATTATATGTTTTATATATATATTATATATTTCCATCCCCCATCTCCCTTGTTCTAAAAAAAAGGGAATCTAAGGTGTCTCATAAAACACATATACACAACATATCCAGAAAAATGAATGAAAGAGGTAAATAGAAAATCTGGTTGGGAAAATAAGATGAAGCCAGGAATGAAGCTAGGATGGGAGACAGACATCAGCAGGGCCTGGACAGCTGACACGTGGCGGGTGGCACACAGCTCTGGGCTTTTGCACAGCTGACGCACAGAGCCTCTGTAGTGGCACATTTCACAGTGTCCATAAAATAAAACAAGCCACTTGATAAGGAGTCATTTAGCTCTTTGTCCTCTTGACACAGTGTAATCCAGTGACTCATGCTCTTTGTAAGAGTTTTCTCGTATAGGGCAACACCTGTTTTCTAGGGCCTCCATGTTTGCCAGTGGCAAAACGCATCAGTGCAGTTCAGAAGCAGTAACTCTTCTGGGCTTGAACTCCCAACCTCAGGTGATCCACTCGCCTTGGTCTCCCAAAGGGCTGGGCCCACTGTGCTTGGCCTGTCTTTCTTTTTAACTAGTGAAGAAATTGAGGCTAAAAGTTATATACACAGAGTCACAAAACTGGTACATGACAGAGCTGTGATTTTAACCCAGGCTGGTCTAATTATTAAAGCCTCGCTCTTTCAGAGAATGAGAAAGGGTTTACATTTTTCATGGGGTTCAAAACTAACATTTAGTTCCTTTTCCAATTATGAAAGTCAAACCTGTTTATTTAGAAAATAGAAAAAATGGGAAAAGAAAGAAGAAAAAAGATTACCCATACTTTCATTATCCGAAAGAAATAAAGGTCATTTGTAGTCCCTGGTCATGGGGAAAAGGTAGGACACAGACCTCAGTGGTGTAGGATGAGGATGAGAAAGGCATTTTAAACTATGACCCAGTTCTGTGTTTTCTTTCCTCCCAGCTAACTTTGTTGGTATATTAGTTTAGAAAACCTGGATTCTTGGTTTTGCTTTGCTAAACACTGGTTCTGGGACTTTCTGAAATCATTTTGCTGGGTTCCCCTTACCCACACCCCCAAGGCTCTTATTTCCTTAAGTGGAAAATGAAAGATTGACTGGAAGTATTTCTCAAAAGTTGCCCTGGAGGGTGCTGAAGACCCTGATAACTTGTCCTAATCCAGGCCAATGAATCCAAATCTCAGGGGACAGGGACTGGGAATCCTCATTTCCCCAGATGCTGAGCAGACGGCTGCTCCCTAAAGACTGAGAGCCGGAGAAGCTCAGGGTTCCTGCTGAAACAGGCCTTGGGAGCTGCAGGCTCCACATTCACTCTTACCAGCAGGAGGAGGAAGAACGCTCCGACCAAGGTGTTTCCTCAGGTAACTCAGCCTGAGGCCTGCGCTTGGCCGGTTGCCATACTTCACCTGTAGGCGCCCAGGTTGATGCAGCTGATTCCCAGGTTGTATCTGGACCGGATGAAGCCCGGCTGGATCTCCAGCGCTCGCGTGTAGGCCTCCACCGCTTCCTCGCTGCGGTCTCCATTCGCCAAGGTCGCCCCGAGACGGTTCCATAGTGAATAGTCCTGATGACAAAATCAGAGCTTTCTCACAACCCAGTGCAAGCCACAGTGACAGAGCATTCCCAGGTTTCTCTGCAGAGAAAGGAAGATGGCTAAAAATTTATTCAGTGCTCGTGGGTGGAGACCGTGGCCAGGTGAATTACTACACAATCTTCACGGACAATATTGTCAAATGACTTTCACTCATCAAACAACAGCTAGCACTGGAGGTTGTCATGTAATTAATGTTTCTATTTTAGGTATTTCCCTATTGACAGCCACGCAGCACTTCATCAGTACCCATCACTTGAAACCACTGGAGGTGAAATAAAGTGGAGAAGGACTGTCGCGGGAAAACGTGTTACAGAGAGCACCGCGGTCTCACTGCGCCTTCTTACCTCCGGCCGGACAGTTAAGGCAGCGCTAAATGCATCTATTGCTCTGTTAAATTCTCCGCTCAGGTGAAACAGGACCCCTAGACCTGTCTGTAGGTCTGGGTCGATCATATCTCCATTTTGGTGGGCAGCTTCCAGATATAATTCCTTCACTCCTTCCAGAACAGAGCTATGAGAGAAAAAACAATTAGATGTGTAATCCTAACAGTCAGAACAGAAACGAGTTACTGTTAAATCTCTTCACTCTATTTCAAGAAATCTCTTCATTACAGACTGGAAAATTTTGCTTAAAATAACTTAATGAGAGGATTATTGATGCCGAGTGTTTTAAAATATGGCTGATTTTCATGAAGTACGTTCTTGAACACAGATACAGACTGCTGAGTAAGGTCTTCACGAGGAGAGTTCTGCTCATTACAAGCGCCAATGTGGAAACCCCACAGCTAAGTTTCCCAGGGCCTCAGTGAGCAAGAATTTAACCTAAGGATTGATTGTTGGCAGAAAACAAACTTTCTAGAAGACCAGACTTTCATTTTTCCCATTCCTAATTCTCAGGCTTGAGAAAATTTGGAGCATCAGTATTTCTTATACTTTGCCTTGGGTGAATTACGTGTCCAAAGCATTTGACTTTAAAATGTGGCACTCAGATAAATGCCTGAGTGCCCACAGTGTACACCATGTGCCTGAAGGAGGTTGGCCCTGGTCTAAGTGTCAGTCTTTCTAATGAGCGATGCTCCTCAAGCAGAATTCCCTCCTGCAAACCATTCTGGAGTGGGTGGCATCATGGATATGAGGCTCATTAGTTACCCATTAGGTGATTAATTGTATCTCTGGGTGTTTACTGCCAGCTGTAATGTAACGGGAAGGTTACCTATCAACTGGGGACTTAGACATCCGCCGGGTGAGGCCTGGAGATCCCTTCTTGCTCTTCACAAGGTACTTGTACTTTGGATTTTGCTTAATCCAATTCTTCAAAGCTTCACAGGCATCCTGCTGATGGCCAGTGTTAGTATAACTCACGGCCAAAGCCATCAGTGCTTTTAAGTTGTTGGGCTGCAATTCTAAGCACCTGAAAAAAAAAGCCAATTTCAGATTTTTTTTTTTTTTTAGTTCTAACAGTTCTTTAGAAAATGTGGGGGTCTTTATTAACTAAATGCTGCAAAATCATTGTTAAACTTGTTATATCAAGTCCTTGTAAAGCACCATATTTATCCACATAAAAACAGAGACCTGAGCATATTTTTAAGACAGTTAAAACTTAACCTAATAACTGCTAGGTTTGGTAATTTTAATAAGTGGCTTTAAAACTGTGTGGCTTATCCCTGCACATGATTTATTAGTGGTTAATCTAATAAGATCTAATGAGAAGTAGGGGATATCATTATTTTAATGCTGCTCTCTCTTATTTAAAAAATGGAATCTCACTCTGTCCCTGAAGCTGGAATGCAGTGGTGTGATCTCGGCTCACTGCAGGCTTTGCCTCCTGGCCTCAAGTGATTCTCCTGCCTCAGCCTCCTGAATAGCTGGGATTACAGACACCCACCACACCCAGCTAATTTTGTAGTTTTAGTAGAGACAGGGTTTTACCACATTGTCCAGGCTGGTCTTGAGCTCCTGACCTCAAGTGATCCACCCACCTCGGCCTCCCAAAGTATTGGGATTACAGGCGTGAGCCACCACACCTGGCCTTTACTATCAATATATTAAATGTATACATTTATACATTTAATGTATACATGTTCTCTTTTACATTTGTATATTAAACGTATAAATGTGTATATTTATACATTTAATACATAATAGTGTTTAAATATATACATACAAACATACATATATGTGTGTATACACACACATTAAAGGTACTTGTATATTTATACATTTAATATATAAATATGAAAGAGAACTGACTTGAATGTAGACATCTAGAGATGAAAGTTTGTGCAGTGTTTTGCTAAGGAGACGGAAATCCTTGTGTTTTCAGAACTGCCAATGTGGGTTTACAGGAGACAATGGCAAAGCTACTCCCCCACATTCGATTCCAATGGACTTTAGCAAGGGATTTCCAAACTGAAGCGCATGCAAATCATCTGGGGGGTCTCATAAAATCTGCGTTCGGATGCAGTAGGCCCGCTGGGGTGGGCCTGGGATTGTGCAGGTTTGACAAGCCTGGGATTGTGCAGGTGAAGGTGCGGTCTCTGGATAAGACTTTGAGTAACAAGCCCTAGACGGTACCTAATGCTGCTCTGTGGTGAGCCTAATCTCTCAGAAACTTATCAGCGCTGGGTAGAGAGGTTCCTAAGGCTGGATGCACATCACAAACACCTGGTGAGTTTTGAAAACGATTGCTGCCTGGTTCCCAGCCCTGCTCAATTAAATGATAATCTCTGGGCTGTGCTTGGGCGTCATTTTCCCCTCTAAATGATTCTAATGTGCATGTGTATACAGGGGTAAGAACTCAGAGCTCCAGGTCTGGAGCCAGGAGATGAGGGTTTACATTCTGTCTCTGCTACATACTCTCTGTGTGACCTTGACCTTCCTGATCCCCAATTCTCTCATCTGTAGGAAAAGGCTCTGAAGGGGCCATACCCCAGGCACCATTACCTCATCAGATACCAATTCTGATCCCCAATTCTCTCATCTGTAGGAAAAGGCTCTGAAGGGCCATACCCCAGGCACCATTACCTCTTCAGATACCAACAGAATATTGAAATCTAGGTTTCCAAGACTGTAAAGCCCTAGAATTTCAAGAGTCTAGAATTCCTACAATCTAAGATTCCGAAGCTATAGGATTTATACACAAACATTATGTATGTACATCCATATAAACATACACATATGTTCTCTTCCTATAGCACTATATTAAAGGTACTTACAAGAAAAGGAAAGGGGAAGTCTGTTTGGTAGAGGCTGCTTTCCAGGGTTTAAATAGGAGCTCTAATCAAGTAGTGTGTAATATTACACACACCCTCTCTTCCCATCCCTCCTTTCCCAATGTCATCCAGACCATTAGTCAGTATTCCACTTACGTTTTTTTTAAAGAATATTTTCAGATGTTTCAGAAGGCTAAAAAGTTAGAAGAAACTATTCAATGGGACTGCTTTATGACTGGGCTCAACACAGGCTTTCTCTGGTCCCAGTCAGTGTCCACTGATTTGTAGATAGCAAGACATGGTTAGGAACGTTATTTCACTACAAGTGGTTTTCCAGAGCTATGTGTGAGTCATATGCAGCATCTCAGCACTTGTCTTGGCTAAATTCTTTATACTGTACTAATCAAAAGACAAATCTGAAACAGGAAGTCCATTAACAAGTATCCACCAGGCCCTTGATTTTGCACTTAGCTTCATTTACCTCTGGAGGGCGACAATAGCTGCTTGTTCATTTTCATTCTCTGCCTGGGTTATCCCGAGGAACTGCCATGCCTGGGAAAGACAATTGATGTTAGTATTGCAAGGTGAAGCAGTATTACTAATGGGCTTCAGTTGGTTTGTTTACCTGGGATGGATCCCCTATGCAGAGCAGTCTCAGATGTGAGGGCTACATAAAAGGGAGAAATATCGCATGCATTTCTTCATTCAAACTCTCTTGTGACATCTGGGTCAAAATCCTCGGTCATTAGTTCAAAACTCGTTCAGTGTTTGTCCTTTCCTAACCCAGTGCGATGGAAACCTCTGAATTTCTGAGATTTCATTATATTAGGTATTTTAAAACCAAAAGATAAATATATAAAATTCTACAATTATGAGGAAAAGGGGTGGAAAAATAGCCCAGAAATGTAGCTAAATAAAGTTTACAATAAGGAATCTCAAGATGTTCAATATGAACTTCGCTTGTATGAATGAAAGTCAAACAGTTACTAGAAAACTTCACAGGAGATTCAGAAACTAGGAAAAGCAAAACAAAACAAAATCTTCTATGGTGTGTTCATTCCTCTAATGTAATCACTGGTAAAACACACAAAACATACATAAACACAATCATAAGGTAGACAGAATTTTATAGTCTAAATTTACACATTTCATTGTACCTTAAGCCCCTTTTCATGTTTCAAAATCCTCATAATTTTTAATTTGGATTTTGTTGTATGGATACTTGATTATTTACCCAACAATTTCCTTATTGCTCTAAGTTGGATGAAATCATTTGCTACTGTAAATAATATGAAGAACATCTTTAAGCAGATAGCTTATGTTTTTATATCTAGAATTAAAGTTTTTAATATAGCAAATTTTCTCTATATGATCGTAAGAACAATAACTGTCATGCTTTTATAAGAGTAATACACACGAGCAAAAGTCTCTCATTAGACACACTGTCCTCAGATTTGCTGGGGGTGGAGACATACTAGGGTTGTAGGGAGTTAAAAATGTTTGGGGAGTGTGTAGCTCTCCCTCCCAAGGCTGGGAGAGTTACACAGTCCCCAAACATTTTACACACTCCCGTAATACCATTTTAAAACAAACCTCTAGGAAAGCGCAGTTATCTGAAAGTGCCACTTGAATGGTTTTGGCTTTTCCCCTTATGGGTTATCATTGGATATACTTTATAAACTCATAAAAATACTGATTATGCCCCCCTCCAAATATCCTTGATTCTTTAAAATCTCTTAAAGGTACATACAGCAACCTCTATTTTGATTTCACCTTCCATGTATCTTAGAATGCTTCTTAAGAAAAGGTTGATGAAATTGCCTTTCTCTGGGGGCATTTTTCTAGCCTGTGGCCATGGTGTCATTCTCACTGTGTACAGTGCTATTATCTCAGCTTGAAGGTCTCCATAGACTCAGAAGCCCTGGGTCCTTGTCTGGGGTTCATTAGTTACCACAGGCTCTTATTTTCTCATTTATGAATCTGAGATCATAATATGTCATTAAGAGAATCTTCCAGGGCCCTTATGTCAAATAATATCATATATTTGAAAACACCTTGTAAAACACTTAGCAGTTACAAATGTAAGATGGCATTATTATTTTTAGGGGGTAGCCTATAGTTTCATATTAGTGTAATAATTTCCTCTTCTACAATGAGCATATATCTTTATTTTATTTTTGAGACAGGGTCTTGCTCTGTCACTCAGACTGGAGTGCAGTGGCACGATCTGGGCTCACTGCAACCTCTGCCTCCCAGGTTCAAGCAATTCTCCCACCTCAGCCTCCCGAGTAGCTGGGATTACAGGCACAAGCCATCCACCCAGTGAATTTTGTTTTGTATTTTTAGTAGACACGGGGTCCCTCCATGTTGGCCAGGCTGGTCTTGAACTCCTGGCTTGAAGTAAGCCCCCTGACTTGGCCTCCCAAAGTGTTAGAATTACAGGCATGAGCCACCAGGCTCAGCCTATCTTTTAAAGATTCTAATATTTTGGTTCAGAATTTCAGCTTTCAGTTCAATCCTATTTCACTGTAAACCTTTTGACCAACAAGATATTACAAGATTTAACTAGTGACCAGGTGACTCATTCTTCCTCATTCTTCACGTACAACCAATGATAACAATGAAGGCAAATACTGATATGCCAGGCACTGAGCTGAGTACTTTCTTTGTGTGAACTAATTTCATCCTCGCAACACCAGTGAGACAGTTACTATTAGGATTTCCACGTTACAGATGAGGAAACTGAAGCTTAGAGTGTTTAAATGACTTGCCCTGAGTCCTACTGCTAACAGGTAGAACAGGGATCGGAACCTATGCAGCTGGGGCAGCACAGCATGGGTGCTTAACCACTGTTCCACATTGTATCCTCAGCTCCAGTGTATATACCTATGCCTACAATTTCTGAAGATTCCCTTGGAGACATTCCTTATATGATGGTTCCTGAAAATTACAAACGAAAGAAGAAAGCATCACACTACCACTGTCTTAGGATGGGCCTCTGCAGGCTTAGGAATCCGGTGCAGTCAGACGGCAGAAGCTTCCTCCTGCTCTCCCAGTCTCTGTCTCGTCGCTTTTCTCATCTCCGAGAAAGGGTTTTTTCTAACATGCAATCCGTGGGTATACCTTTCCTGAGTACAGGCCCCAGTGCTTTCCCACAGACTTCAGATGAATTTCAAATCCTTGCCTATCTCTCTACCATTCTCCCCTCCCCTCCCCTCTTCCACCTAACATGCTGCTTCATGCCACTCTGCCGCCCCATGTCGCATTCTCTGGAAATGAAAACGTGACTCCTCTATTGCCTTCCATTCCGCCGCCACCCTGGCTCCACTTGTGCGGACAGGCTGGATGTTTCTGGTTTCCCAGGACTGTGTGCACATGTGGACACTGCATTTATCACATTACACAGATTTTTCCACTTGTCTTCCCAGATAGACCATAAACATGTTTTTCCAACTGGTAACTTTTCCCAGCTTTTCAGTATTTTGAGCCAGGACCTGCCATAATTTTTGGGACATAGCACGTGTTTAACAAATGCGGAGTGAGTAAACCAAGGATGAAGTACAGTGTGACACAAGAACCAGACATCGCTATATACTGTCCCTTGAAAACAACCGCCAGGTGCAGTGGCTCATGCCTGTGATCCCAGCACGTTGGGAGACCTGAGGAGAGTGGATCCCTGAGGTCAGTAGTTCGAGACCAGTCTGATCAACATGGTGAAACCCCATCTCTACTAAAAATACAAAAATTATCTGGTCATGGTGGTGGGCACCTTCAATTCCAGCTACTTGGGAGGCTGAGGCAGGAGAATCGCTTGAACCTGGCAGGTAGAGGTTGCGGTGAGCTGAGATCACGCCATTGCACCCCAGCCTGGGTGACAGAGCAAGACTCTGTCTCGAAAAAAGGAAACTGCTGATAAGCCTCCAGGTTGGTGATTTTGATTTTTTGTTTCCTGTCCCCAACCTTTATTTATAGGCACTATCAACACTGCTGATTAGAAATTAGGTTAGAAAACAGGTACCTATTGGAACTTTCAATAAGCTACGTTATTGAATCTAAGCTAAGCTAGATTACTCCTCTGGGAAGCTTTATATGATGGAAAGGCAGAATTCAGTGTTTTCTGTCCCTTGTTGGCACATGCCCTTTCTGAGTCTGGCAGAATGAAGGGAGAAAGATACCTCTGCATCTCCAGGGTCCTGAAGAATTGCTGCTTCCATGAACAGGATGGTGACTGGCAGGTCCCCTTCCTTCAGCCTTTTTAAACCTTCTTCAAATGCTCCAGGCCAGTCCTTGAATGGGTTTTCAGTGTGAAAGTAATATCCCTGCAACACAGAGACAGACCAGTGCATAAGCCATTGATTTCTCTTTTCATTCTTACATCCAGTAAGAATGTAAATTAAAAAGTCAGGAAACAACGGATGCTGGATAGGATGTGGAGAAATAGGGACGCTTTTACACTGTTGGTGGGAGTGTACATTAGTTCAACATGGTGGAAGACGGTGTGTCGATTCCTCAAGGATCTAGAAATAGAAATTCCATTTGACCCAGCAATCCCATTACTGGGTATATACCCAAAGCATTATAAATCATTCTACCATAAATACACATGCACACATATGTTTATTGCGGCACTGTTCACAATAGCAAAGACTTGGAACCAACCCAAATGCCCATCAAAGATAGACTGGATAAAGAAAATGTGGCACATATATACTAAGGAATACGATGCTGGCATAAAAAAGGATGAGTACATGTCCTTTGCAGGGACATGGATGAAACTGGAAACCATCATTCTTGGCAAATGAACGCAGGAACAGAAAAACAAATACTGCATGTTCTCCCTCATTAGTGGGAGTTGAACAGTGAGAACACATGGACACAGGGAGGGGAACATCACACACTGGGGCCAGTAGGGGATGGGGGGGCTAGGAGAGGCCTAGCATTAGGAGAAATACCTAATGTAGATGATGGGTTGATGGGTGCAGCACGTGTACACCTATGTAACAAACCTGCATGTTCTGCACATGGATCCCAGAACTTAAAGTATAATAAAAAATTTAAATTGAATATTTCTTTTGATTTTTAAATTTATTCATTTTAAATTTCTGCTTTTCCTTATTATGAATATAGCAGATTTTCATTGTATAAAGTTTAGATAAGACCAAATAATATAACAAGATACAGAAAGAATGATAGGTACACAATGCCACAACCTAGATATGACCACTCCTAATATTTTTGAGTTTGCTTTCTTCTGATACTTTTTGTTCTTTTTAACAATTTCCCCTCATGATTTTAAAAGTACTGACTCTTTAGACATGTTTTTGCTAAGTGCTACCACCCGTCCCCGAAATACCAGTCCCACATACTGTATATCTGTTTACCTACCACGGCCCTTTGGAGAGCTCCAAACCATTGTCATAGCTGAGTGTTTTGCCTTCACCCTAGACCAGTTTTTGCCTGTTGGGGGCTGTACTGCCCCTGTCGAGAATGCATTTTTTAAAGTTAAAGGTTTTTATGATTGCAAACGTTTAAAGAATACAGAATGTACAAATAATTGTCTGGTATTTTCTGTAAGTATATAAATTAAACAAATAGGCGCATGCTACATACACAGTCTTACAGCTTAGGCCTCAGTTTTATATTGTGATTATTTCTCTATGTTATTAAAATTATTCCTATGGATAGATATATTTATTTACTCAATTCCCTATTATAAATGTTCAGGTTATTTTAAATTTTGTGTTATCATAAATAAAACTACGGTGAAAGCCTCATGCACAAATCTTTGTCTGAATTTACTTATTACCTTAGGGTAGACTCCAGAAGGATTTATTAGGTTAAAGGTTATGAGCTGTTTTTAAGCCCTTGATATGTGTAGCTAAATTGTTTTTGAAAAAAGGTGTCCCCCTTAAACTCTCATCTGAAGTAGGTGAGAGATGTTATTTGTTGCATAGATTATCATAAAATCCTTTAAATTTGATAGATACAAATAAGTTAGTGTGTTGATGATGTCACTAAGGTCTAAAAGTAGATCAAGTGGAGGCCTTCTGTCTCCATAGGTGCTGAGAGAGATGAAATCCGCCATCAAAAGCCACAGGGTCTGAGGGCTTATGTGGGGTTAGTGTGGTTATGGGGTTCTGGGAGTGAGGGGCTGTGGCACTCAGCAGTCCTTGGGAGCACGAATTACAGTGCAGAGTCTGATGATCTGAATCAATGTCCTGTGTTCCCATTTAGCTTTGATTTCCTTGTGGAAAAGAGAGTTACTTTTAATGAGACGGTTGTTCTAATTTTATGAGATTACCTGGCCCATTGAGGGACAGAGTATTTGGAGGAGAGAGGCATTTTAATGGCTATGTAGATCGCAGATCTACTAAAATCAGAGACTATTCATCATCACATCCCCAGTACTTAGTGTAAGAGTAAATGCTCAATAGATATTTGTTGTATTAGCAAAATATCATAAAAGTTGTCCAGAACTGAATATTACTGAGACGTCTTCCACCACAAAATAATAATCATACTTATCTAAATACAGTTTTTCCTTTTTCTAAATTTATTTCTAATTTTTGTGGGTACCTAGTGGGCATATGTATTTATGGGGTACATGAGATATTTTGATACAGGCATACAGGCCTGCACATGTGTGATACGTGTAACAGTCACATCAGGGTAAATGGGGTATCATCACCTTTGTTCTTTTTATGTGTTATACTCTGTTAGTTATTTTAGTTAGTTAGTTAGTTAGTTATTTTAGTTAGTTAGTTTAGTTAGAAGCCACTTATACTCTGTTAGTTATTTTAAAATGTACCATAAACTATTGTTGACTGTGGTCACCCCATTGTGCTATAAAATACTAGATTTTCTTCATTCTATGTAACTATATTTTGTGCGCATTAACCATCCCCAGCTCCCTGCCCATTACCCTTCCCAGCCTCCGGTAACCATCATTCCACTTTCTATCTCCATTTCAGTTGTGTTCATTTTAGCTGCCACAGACAAGTGAGAACATGTGAAGTCTGTCTTTCTGTGCCTAGCTTATTTTACTTCAAGTGATGACCTCCAGTTCCATCCGTGTTGTTATAAATGACAGGATGCCGCTATTTTCTATGGCTGAATGCTACACTATTGTGTATATGTACCTCATTTCCTTTTCCTTTTTTTTTTCTTTTTCTTTCTTTTCTTTTTTTATAGACAGGATCTCATTCTCAGCTCACTGCAGCCTTGACCTCCTGGGGTTGAAGTGATCCTCTTGCCTCAGCCTCCTGAGTAGCTGGGGACTACAGGCATGTGCCACTATGTCCAGCTAATGTTTTTCTTTTTCCTTTCTTGTTTATTTTTTTTTGGTAAAGACAGGATCTCACTCTGTTGTTCAGGTTCACATTGCTTTTATCCATTTGTCTGCTGATGGACACCTAGGTTGCTTCTATATCTTGGGTATTGTGATACATACTTTTTCTAGGCAAGAAAATTCCACATCTTTCTTCAAGTTATTTATACTTAATCCTCAGTGTTCTCTCCAACCCCACGAAGTGCTTTTTAAACACATAAATCCTAGAGCAGGTGGAACTTCAGGAGTGGTTTGGCTGGTTGTTCACTGTCCTTGTGCACTAATGGGGTCCTATCGGGGAGTATCTCTAAGGAATCCCCTGGGGACTTGACCTGGTTGGGAGAGTGTCTTTTCCATAGACTTAGTTTGCTAGCTATATAATGACCACCTGTGAAATACAGCCCAGTCTCCACTCCACCCCCATGCACTGTATAATGACCACCTGTGAAATACAGCCCAGTCTCCACTCCACTCCCATACACTGTATAATGACCACCTGTGAAATACAGCCCAGTCTCCACTCCACCCCCATGCACCGTATAATGACCACCTGTGAAATACAGCCCAGTCTCCACTCCACCCCCATGCACTGTATAATGACTACCTGTGAAATACAGCCCAGTCTCCACTCCACTCCCATGTACTGTATAATGACTACCTGTGAAATACAGCCCAGTCTCCACTCCACTCCCATGTACTGTATAATGACTACCTGTGAAATACAGCCCAGTCTCCACTCCACTCCCATGTACTGTATAATGACCACCTGTGAAATACGGACCAGTCTCCACTCCACTCCCATGTACTGTATAATGACCACCTGTGAAATACGGACCAGTCTCCACTCCACCCCCATGCACTGTATAGTGACCACCTGTGAAATACAGCCCAGTCTCCACTCCACTCCCATGCACTGTATAATGACTACCTGTGAAATACAGCCCAGTCTCCACTCCACTCCCATGTACTGTATAATGACCACCTGTGAAATACAGCCCAGTCTCCACTCCACTCCCATGCACTGTATAATGACCACCTGTGAAATACAGCCCAGTCTCCACTCCACTCCCATGTACTGTATAATGACCACCTGTGAAATACGGACCAGTCTCCACTCCACTCCCATGTACTGTATAATGACCACCTGTGAAATACAGCCCAGTCTCCACTCCACTCCCATGTACTGTATAATGACTACCTGTGAAATACAGCCCAGTCTCCACTCCACCCCCATGCACTGTATAATGACCACCTGTGAAATACAGCCCAGTCTCCACTCCACTCCCATACACTGTATAATGACCACCTGTGAAATACAGCCCAGTCTCCACTCCACCCCCATGCACCGTATAATGACCACCTGTGAAATACAGCCCAGTCTCCACTCCACTCCCATGTACTGTATAATGACCACCTGTGAAATACGGACCAGTCGCCACTCCACTCCCATGCACTGTATAATGACCACCTGTGAAATACGGACCAGTCTCCACTCCACTCCCATGCACTGTATAATGACCACCTGTGAAATACGGACCAGTCTCCACTCCACCCCCATGCACTGTATAGTGACCACCTGTGAAATACAGCCCAGTCTCCACTCCACTTCCATGTCACTGGTATCACTTCTGTTGTTGGCGTATCAACAGGATGTCAGAGCATGGCGAGAGTAGCCCAATTCTTGCTCCAAGCCACCCTCAATGTCAGCTAGTTCAGGAACTGGCCAACCAGCAGCTCTAAGCTCTGGTCAGCTGCCAAACGATCTGTCTGAACACTGATAAAAACAAAAACATTTCATTCCAACTTGGCTTCCTTCAGGCATTGGATAATTATATTGTATCTTTCTATTAGAATTTCTTCTAGGTCACAGTGACATTAAATTGTCTTTTTAATTCCTCTGTTTTTGACAAAATATCTATTGACTAATCTAAAAAATATGATTCAAAAAGCTGGAGAAAACTAGTCAGCATGTATAGAAACAGCATTGGTTACCTTCTCACTAGCCGAGATGGTTACTTGGGTCTGAGGCTTCTTGGTTCTCAGATATCCAGTTCCTCCGAGCCATTTCTTCCCATTCTGCTTGCATCTTATCCCAAAACTCTGTATCTGACTGGGGAAAAATGAACAGAGATCGATTTAAGAACATGCCACATTATCTGTTTTTCTTCCTAATAGGTAAAAGAGGCTTCTGAGGAGGAATGAAATGGTGACATCCAGTTGATATGCATGGCTGAAGAGCTGCTGGAGTGTGCTCACAGGTCAGAGCACTGGGGTGGATTAGCTGTGGCTTTCTCCAGCAGGAAAATAACTGCCATCAGAAAGACCAGGATCACAATGCCAAATTCAGCTGAAAGCCACTGCTTACACACAGTTCCACGTGTGGGCACTAGGCCACATTTTAGGAAGAGCAGTCTCTCCCAGAATTGCTGCTAGCGTGTGAGGAATTAGAGTGACTGCTTTGGGCCTGGCCGAGCAGTGACTTGGGAAGACAGTGACTCGGAGTCAAGCACTGTGCCGGCAGAAAACAGCCTGGAGGGTCACGGTCCGGAAGCTAGGACTAAGGGGTCTGAAGCCCATCTGCCTTCCAAACCCACATTTGTCTGCTTACAGCAAGCTTGGTCCACGGGTGCTAAAGAATGAGGGACCCCGGTGTGAACCCGACTGATCCTCTTCAAGGACTTTTTTTTTTTTTTTTTGAGATGGAGTCTCCCTCTGTCACCCAGGCTGGAGTGCAGTGGTGCGATCTCAGCTCCCTATACCTCCACCTCCCAGGTTCAAGTGATTCTCCTGCCTCAGCCTCCCAAGTAGCTGGGACTACAGGCACCTACCACCATGCCGGGCTAATTTTTTTGTGTTTTTAATAGAGATGAGGTTTCACCATGTTGGCCAGGATGGCCTCGATCTCCTGACCTCATGACCTCCCACCTCGGCCTTTCAAAGTGCTGGGATTATAGGCATGAGACACCACGCCTGGCCCCTCTTTAGGGACTTTATGTGGCAGGATGAGTTTTTGAAAAATACTACTTTGTGTTTTTGTTTCCTTGTTGTTTTCCCACACATCTTCTGTAAGAGAAATCAGGCCATTTGTTCTTTCCTTCAAGGGAGGTGTGCGTTCCTAAACTGAAGAAGATTTTTGCTGCAAGAGCTGTCCCTGGTGGGCCTATATTTTATTAAGCCTGAAAAGAGTACTTTAGGTGGCCCAAGGGGCAGGAGGAAGGAGCAAGTGTCTTAAAGAATTTAAGAGATACAGGGCCTGGGAGCGGTGGCTCATGCCTGTAATCCCAGCACTCTGGGAGGCTGAGGTGAGCGGATCACAAGGTCAGGAGATCAAGACCATCCCGGCTAATATGGTGAAACCCCATCTCTACTAAAAATACAAAAATCAGCTGGGCGTGCTGATGGGTGCCTGTAGGCCCAGCTACTCAGGAGGCTGAGACAGGAGAATCACTTGAATGCAGGAGGACGAGGTTGCAGTGAGCTGAGATCATGCCACTGCATTACAGCCTGGGAGACAGAGGGAGACTCCAACTCAGACAGAGAGAGAGAGAGAGAGAGAGAGAGAGAGAGAGAGAGAGAGAGAGAGAGAGAGAGAGAGAGACAGGGAATTTTCCAGGGGCAGGGAAAGAGATGGAGGGTGGCAGGTTCTGAGGAGTGGGAGGCTGGTGTTCAGTTTTAGCTATTTACCAGGCAAACCAGCCTGATATCAGAGAGGATGCCAGAGGGTGTGACAAACAGGACACACTTGAACCCCTGTCCCACATGGCCAGGAAACAGTGGGACAGGAATTCAAGGAACCACTTGGGACTTGGATGGCTGTTAGTGGTCACCATGACAGATGGCAGGGGGTGGTGGGGAGACTTCGTCTTTGTTTTCTGACACTACATAAGCCTTCCATATTTCATGCCCTAGACAAAGTTCCCTGCCAGCCTGGTAACAGAGACACTTGGAAATCACTTTATTTTCTTAAACAAAGAAAACAATGAGCATTCCTACATCTGAATCTGGGACTGAAATTCATACTCTTTACAAATAGCACACGTCCGTTTCTATGGTTTGAAGGCCTGTCGCTTGCTGATACACCGTCATACTGACTTGAGGTCGACCTTCCCCTTTGAACCCTTCTGGTCTGCCTGGGCGGTGGTTGTCCTGAAGTGAGAGTCCTTCTGAGTTGCTCTGAGTGGTAATTATAACCTTATTTCTTTTAGATATAAATGTTCATGGGATAAGAACCAGCTCAATATGATTATCCCAGGTTGCTAAATAAATAGGTCTCACTCCCGCTTTATTATGTCCAGAATTCTCATTCCTCCCACAGAAACGGGTTCTGCCCCTTTGGCAAAGGCCTCCTCTTGGCAAGGCAGCAGGCATCTTGACAACTGATGCCCATGATGCTGGGAGGACATGGAACAGCTACTAGGTTTCCAGGTTCAGCTCAGAAATAAAATTCAAAATTTCCCTTTTAAAGGCTTTTTCTAGTAGAATACCACATTGTGCAAACAGAATAATCTCAAATATACTACAGCAATGGCTAGATAAAAGACTAGGAAGGTAAGACAAGTTCTTAATGACTTATAAAGAGACTTAGACTCCCACACAATAATAGCGGGAGACTTGAACATCACATTGTCAATATTAGACAGATCAACGAGACAGAAAATTAACAAGGATATCCAGGACTTGAATTCAGAACCAGAACAAGTAAACTTAATAAACATTTATAGAACTCTCCACCCCAAATACACAAAACATACATTCTTATCAGTACCACATCACACCTACTCTAAAAGTGACTACATAATTGGAAGTAAATCACTCCTCAGTAATTGCATAGCATTTCACAGATTTAAATGAAATATTGGTTGGCTGCTTGTTTGTTATTTTCTTCCCTTATTCCTTCCTGTCTCCATTGTTAAGCACAATTATTGGCATAAAAGAGGTTTCAATACCCATTTTTAGACTGCATTTTGGCCTGGGCAATAAAGCGACATTCAACGTTCTCTCTCCCTCTTTCTTTTCCTCTTTCTTTCTCTCTTTCATTCTTTTTAAAAATTATTCTATTTTTTTCTTTCTCTCTTTTTTTCTCTCTTAAAAAAAAAAGAGACTAGGAAGAAATATGCCCCATATTAATAGAAATGTGTCTTTGAATGAAGAATAATGGGGGATGTTTTTCCTCCCTCTTCAAACTTTTCCTGCTTTCTGAATTTTCTATGAGCATGCTTTGCTTTTATAATTAAAAAAAAAGGTTAAACACAACACAACAAAAATCTCTTTCCTTTTTAAAAATACTATGAAACCTGAATTATTAGATACTAACACGTTTGGAAAAAATTCAGGGGATTCATTTTTGAAATAGCTTTTCAAAGATGCAGGTTTAACCTGTCTGCAGTAGAAAGGAAGACAAACCTATCGAGAATTTTTATAATGTTTGCTGACTTCCCCGGACTCGCACTGGGTGACGCGAGATGCCGATGACTGCATGTACTTTTCAAGGCAAGTAAGTTCGTCTAGTGAGAGTCCTCGGAATTTAAAGCATATTACCAGTCTTCTGCATGAAAGAATGAGAAGGATTTAATGATGTGTACATCTGAGTTACCAAAGGATGCATTACCTTTCTTGCAGCTTGAAATCAGAGCAGTAGATACATAAATAAAGCTGCTGGGGAAAACAGACAGAACCTCAGCTGAGGTGGAGCTGCTGGGCTCTCAATGAGATACACCAGAACTCACTGTTACCACTTAAAATGAGTTACTGCTGACTAATTAAAGTGCACAGCACAGTTTTCATTTAATTACAGAGACTACCTTCAGTATAATCAGTTTTCATCCAGTTGCAGAATCTGGACTTCATTCACATAGCTACAAGTGAACACTGCTTTCCCCCCACTATTTTAAATGAGCTTTAGAGAAACCGGAATCATTTCAATTTTAAAGGTATTAGACATAACTGAGGGGATTTCATTTATTGATAATTTTCTGAGTGCTCCCGGGATTCTGGTAGATTGTTTAGACTCTGTGCACCAAGCTAGCTGCTTACATCAGAAATGGGCTATTACTTTCCATCCACATGCATCTCTAAGAACAGCCTCTGATGATAAAATACAGCACTACTCATAAACACACTAGGGTATGCAGTGTGATGATGACAACCGCGACGCTCCCCTTGGACGGGCCTGGGGTCAAATTCTTGTTCCGTCACTGCCCTTTTGCAGATCTCTTAATATTTCTAAGTCTCATTTTCCATATCTTTAAAATGAAGATATGATAGCAGTTTTGGTTAGTTGTTATGACAACTAAATGAGAAAACGCATTGAGAAAATGCATCTGTGGCATAAAGCACATGGTAGATGCTCAGAAAACTCGGCGTTCTTGCTAGTGTTTTCAAAGCATTGAGAAAAATACAGAGAATAAAACAAAAATCACCCACAACTGCAAAGCTCAAATATAAATACTGTGAATAGGCTGGTGTTTTAACTTGCCATAAAAACACATTATTCTTTTAGACACTTCCCTTCTCTTCATTTAAATCTTTCCCTTCCACCTAATTATTCAAAAATAGGATCAAGGTTAAGAAAATTATGGTAAAGCCTCTATAGTGTGGATTGTTAGGCAGCAATTAAAAAGTGTTTATGAGTAGTTTATTAAAACGTTGAATAGTCCTTGAGTTATAATGTTTCTTGCTAAGTAGTATAATTGCAGTAACAGAAAACCAACCACAATAATGGTCGGGGCGGGGGAAGACTGCAGAGAAAGGCACCGTAAACTGCTTATTTTTAATCTCGTCACTTTTTCTTGTACTTTTTACTATTTCCCAAACTTTCTGTCGCTAGTATAAGTTATTTTGGTGGAAAAGTAAGACTTGGTTTAAAAAAATGCTTACTTCTTTTCAATTTCAACTTCTCCGTGAGGTTTTCTTCCGCATTCCCACACTAGAGCATTTTGCCTCCGAATTCCTTCATCACTGGGATTCCGTGTTAGTGGTTTGAAAGAAGAAGATGTGTGCTAGAAGTTGAGCAAGCTGTTTTTTTTTTTTTTTTTTTTTTTTTTTTTTTCTTTTGAGACGGAGTTTCACTCTTGTTACCCAGGCTGGAGTGCAATGGCGCGATCTCGGCTC